ACCATCAGATGCCATTAATGAACTGTTGCCAGCTTCAACTTGGATAGTAGTTATTCTTACTTATGCATGTTGCTTTGATGCATGTCTGTTGTAGCTCCTCTTTACAAATGAAAAATTTAAAGCATAGCAAACGACATTAACTTGCTCCAGAGAAAAGTGTTCTAAAGAGCTGGAATTCTTAATTCTCATAATAAGCATAATATGTACCTATTCCCTTCCTCAAACAGTTTATCTACCACTAAAACTCAAACTGTGAGAAAAGTAAAAGCAAGTCTGGGCAAGTCTGGATAATACACAATGAATCCATGTTACCACTTTTTTGCTCTTTGTTTAGCTACAATGTGTTTTATACCTACCATATCAACTATATTGCATTAAATGCAACAAAGTGAGAAAAGAGAAATCATTTTTCATAATATATTCAAAAGGCAGCGAAACTATGAACTTTGTTTTAAATCTTCCCATGTAAAAGAGTCTCAAATAAATGTGTACTATCTGTTACAGCTATCACTTCACCTACATGTAAACTTTCCAAAGATTTATTCATTCATTTAACAAATATTTATCAAGTGCCAGGCATTGTGCTAAGCTCTGGAGAGTTCTAGTTATACAGATGATATTCTATGACTTGCAAACACCATTTGAAAATATCTCTCTTTAAAACTTCTCATTTCTACATTAGGATATTATGATATCTTTACAAACTACATCACAACCATGTGCCTGTTAAAAAAGCCAATGAAGTAAAGTAACAACCACATGTTATGTGTACAATGTTAGAGAAAAGTATAATTTATCACTGTAATTAGTACTATTTAGACAAACACTCTCACTTGGCTGAAAGCTACCAGGCTATCTAGCCTAAGCTACAATTAGACTTAATTTTTATCAAGCACTGAAACTATGTAGGAAATTGTGCTTCCTAATCCCTCCTCAGATAATGCTTCAGTCTTGATATAGTGGTAAGTAATTCTAATGTTCAAATGTGGAAAAGATTTCTGTCCTCCCACCATAACCTAGGAGATTTTTTAAAAATAAATTCCCAGCCATTAATTAGTACTGACCTTCTAGATTTGATTAAGCCAGGGCCCAAAGTAAAAACAACAATTAATAAAATCACAGAACTGAATAGATTATTTAATTTGAATTCTTTGTTTTAAAGATAAAGATACTGAGATCAGAAGAGGTTTACATGTTCATGGTACACAAGGTAGTGATAGGGCTGTGGTTAGGAGTTTTCTGACTCCTATCCCAGTGCTCTTTTGATACAAAATGAAACTGTCATAGGAAATTAAGAAAAAAATCTGAGAAAGAAATTACCTTTAATTACAAACATGAGTGAACCATAACTCAGATACACTTAATAAGCTTTAAATTAAAATTATGCTTTATTAAAAAATAAGAAGCAAAGGAAGTCAAAGCTGAAAAATGATAGGTCACCCTTTTAGGATATGGCCTCCATTCAGAATAATCCAGTTATAATCAATTTTAAGAGTCTGTCCCAATTATTTTTTGGTTCTGGAATTATTTTGTATTGAATAATATCTGAAATTAGCAGGGTATTGGCTAAGGGAGCAGAAATCTTTTTGATTTACAGAGATTTTTGTTGTAATGGGTTTTGACCAGGGAACAAAAAATTAAAGCAAGACTCCAGACTTTCGCCTTAATTTCCTACATCTCCAATTTTGACCTCTTCCCTCCCTACTTATACAAAGTAATAGGAACTAGCATTCCCACTTCAACTTCACTTTTATTTTTCAAAATATAGTTTGTTTCATTCCTGTTGAACTTAATTTCTTCAACATTCCTGTATTTCTAAGAATACAATTCTGTTAGAGAAATGGATGGTAACAATTTTACTAATATTCAAATCATAAAGTACGTAAATGCTAGAAAGACTGACTTTCAAAATGCTTTAAAAAGTGGTGCTTGAATGACTACAGCATTATGGAATACTCTTCTAGCCAATTCATCTATCAAATTAAAATGGATCTGCAAGCCAGAAAGACACTTTGGCTTCCATCAGTACTGGACAGTAAGAATAAAAGAAACATGTATATTTATAGGACTTGAATTCTGGTTAGGCAAGATGTATAAGTAAAAGAAAGAGATAAAAAAACAACAGATTGAGAGGATTATTTCTCAATCAGAAAGTGCATTTATGGTTCTTATTAAAGTGAAAATAGTTAAATGAAAGATAGGACATATTTATATGTTCTTAAAAGTCTATTGTACTACAAAAATACAAAGAAAATAGATAGAAGAAAGGAAAGAAAGAAAGGAAGGAAGGAAGGAAGGAAGGAAGGAAGGGAGGAAGGAAGAAAATAAAGAAAGAAAGAAAGAAAGAAAGAAAGAAAGAAAGAAAGAAAGAAAGAAAGAAAGAGTGAACTCAGTGATAGTTACAGATGGTGACTTGCTAAAAACCTTGCTATGGTTCTACGCACTTTTCACATCCTAATCTATTTCATCCCCACAGCTACCCTCCAGGTGAGTACTATTATGAACTCCCATCTTACAAACAAGGACGCCAAGGTACACAGCTAGTTAAGTAGCAAAATCAGACTTCAAATTCTGTCAAATCCCAGAATTTGTGTTCTTAAGCACTATGTGGTAAAGGTTACTGCTTAGGAATTATCAGCTTTGTTGAATGTATCTTTGAATCATTTTGATATCAAAATTTAAAGATACTTAGAGCTCAGTTAATTTCATTATAAAATCCTTCAATTTCATGATTCTAATATCTCAAGGAATATACCATTAATTAATTTATTTATTAATAAGTTGTCACCACAAATATTTAGGCTCCTCTGTGTAGAGAACACTCATGTTACAGAACACTACTGGTGTTCTTACACTTTGGGGATTTTTTCAGTGGAAAACATGGTAATTATGTATAAACTAAATAACTTTCATATTCCCACTGTCATATATAGTATATACTTAGGAAAAAGTTCCACATGACACAGGTACTACATTGATTGATATTCTCCTTCATGCTCATATACAATTCAGCAGGTAAACCTTATCAGTTCTACAACCTAAAAATCTCTCAAATCCATCTCCCCTCTTTTTGTTTTGTTTGGTTTGGGGTTTTTTTGTTTTGTTTGTTTTTGTTTTTTGTTTTTTGAGAGAGAGAGAGAGAGAGAGAGCAGGGGAGAGGCACAGGGAGAGGGAAAGAGAGAATCCCAAGTGGACTCCACACCCAGCATGGAGCCCAACAAGGGGCTCAATCTCAAGACCCTGAGATCATGACCTGATCTAAAATTGAGGGTTGGGTGCTTAACTCACTGAGCAACCCAGGTGCCCCCATCTCCCTTCTTTCCAAACCAACTGTTATGACCACTGCTAAGACTCAGCATTTCATGAGTCCCTCCCACCTCAAACTCCTTTAGTGTTCTCTGCTGGGGCACTGCAAGAGCATGGCTAGTTCAGAGAGGCAAAAGAAATGCAAGAGTCATGAATTAAGCTTCATGAGCCTCTCAAGTCATCATAAATAGACATAAAATCTATTTTTAAACAAACAGACATTTACTACTCAAATACAGCTTCAAGAAAAAGGCCTTAGCTACCCTTCAAATCAAGTTGCCATCCTAGTCATCTCATAGAAACATCTGGAACCAACATTGACCTTCCACCATACTAAATCAAGAATCCCTATCAAATGCAAATCAAGTCATGTTATTTCCCCTTCATCCCTTCCCCAAGACTTAAATTCCTTAAAGCATCATATGAGGCACTTCATGACTTGGCTACCTTCCTTCCTCACCTCTTGCACTTGCCATCATCCACCCAAGCTATCCGTATGAAATAACCTGCATCTCACAGAACATACCTTGCTCTTTCAGGCCTTTACATCTTGCCCATGCTACTCCATATCCTAGAATTGTCCTTTCCATTTTTTGGCTAACTGATGTTCATAGACTGAGATTCCGCTTAAAAACTACATCCTCTGTGAAGTCCTCCTTTAAACCTCAGAGACCTTCCCTCCTTTACAAAAATTTTGCCCCTAACCCAAAAGCTTCTGTGGGTTCTTTCTCTGAGTTCCCCTAACATCCCAGGCATAGATATCTTTTATTTAGTCCTATCACCATAAGGTTCAAAGGTCCTCACACAATGTCATTTCCACCTTGAGCTAGTGAAAGAAATCGGCTTGATCTTGTTTATCATTGTATCCTCACTGCTTCCCACAATGCCTGGCACACACGGTTAATATTCAATGAGTGTTTAATGAGTTGGAATTAAATTTTCTATACAAGACAGTAACAGAGATATGTACATTAATAGAAAATATAAATAATATTGAAAAAATGTTCACAGAAAATATCTGGCCATTGTGATTTTCATAATAAAATTAAAATATTAAATTTATGCTATAGGCATACACTGAAATTTTGGACTTGCATGCTCCACTTGTGTACATGCTTAGAATCACGTTTTTTAAAACTATAGTGGTTCTAAATTAAGAACCAGTTGACACAAGCTGATTTTGTTGTTATTTCCTCATTGTTAAGGAGAACATCATTTCTTTTTAACTAAAATAAATAAGTAACTTTATTATACTAAAGTTGTTCATTTTCATTTTTCCTTTCCCAAAGTAAGGGCCACATGTGGAATGAAGAGAATTTTCATTCTCCTTGAACAAGACGAATATCCTGTTTGTGTGATTTGGGGCAGTTTCTTATGAAGACTGCCAGCCTCTTATGAATGTTATGATTTTCAGATGTGTAGTGTGCATTAAAGAACAAGAAGATATCATGAAATATTAGTGACAGTTATAGACTGAGCAAAGAAACTGGACAATGTTTCCAAGGGTTATAAGGATTGTGGAAATGAATGTTACTCAAAGTCGAGTGGTGATTTACAACCAATTTCCGTCTTCAAATTAGGGCCCAAGTGAAAGAAAACGGAATTTAGCAAAGCATTCTGGTGTATCATTTCCTGCAGCAGAAACACCCACCCAGACTAGTGCCCTCACTAGGTACAGGACAAGAAGCAGCAACCTGAGGGAAGCCCACAGGCTCGCAGGGCTACTGGCTGGCTCTTTGTCACCAAATGCAGCAGGTTGAATGCAGACATCACTGTGATATCTTCACCAACAGAACGAGAGGCAAAGAACAGGGGCAAGAGCTGAGGAGGAGAAAAAAGAAAACAAAAACCAATTAAAACATCACAAATGTTAAACACATTCATTGCACAATTGATGGTTACGGTTTTATCTGGAACTGAACCCATACACACGGTGGTAATAAATTTCAAATGCCTATTTTTCAGATGGTGAGCTTACTTTCAACCCAGACTTATTTATATCTTATGAATAAAATACACACAATATAAAAGTGTAATCTGTGAACACATTTTGCAAGAGGTCAGAAAAGAGACGAAGTTTGAAACATTTGAAAAGAATTAGCATTTATGGAGTGAGTTCGTACCATGTGACAGGAACTGTCTGGGGCCCAATATACACATTGTATCATTTAATTCTTACAATAAACCTAGGAGGTACGTTTTATCCCCCAATAATATGTGAGGAAATCGAGGCTCAAAGGTCCAAGGGCACAAAGCAAATAACCAGTGGAAAAAGGATTAGAAAACCCTGTTATATCTCACTGCAAAGCTCTGTTCTTTCCTTACACCATGCTGCCTCCTTCCAGCAATTATTTGTAAATCTCCCTCCCTGGAGAAAATTGTAAAATACTAGAAGATTAAGAGATGCCTTTGTTAGAGTTTCTTTTTTTTCTTTCTTTTTTAAATAGAGAACCAAATAACCTACAGACAACTAGGAAACTTCACTTTAGAAAGTGTTAAGTTTGAGCAAAGCATAGCAAATATGAATTTTCATTTGATTTTATCATTTATAATTTCAAGGTCAATTCTGTGAATAATATTTACAACCTAACCTTAAAAAGGGTAAAAATATTTGTAAAGGTTTTGGAAATGAATCTATGTGGAAGAATCTCAAAATTGTATGAGTGTTAAACTTCAGAGAAAAGCTCAGTCAGGATTTTCTTAAAGTTTTGTACAACCTTTCAATTGCTAAAGATTAACTTCAAATGAAGATGGAAAAAACTAGACTAGTACTAACTTTTAATAACTTATTTTAAATTGGCATTATAAGTGACTGTAACCACTGCATGTCCAAAAATGGATGTAAAATGAATGTCTTATCCATTTCCTGGCCCTCATCCCCCCAGAATAAAAGTCTGTTCCTGGTCTCTTCTGACATCCTTGAAGAACAACACATAATAAACAGTAATATATTTTACCAAATCATTCTGGAGTATATCTGACAGAAATCTGCTTGTATTAACATACCTGAACTCTGACTTTTCCAAACTAAACTCACTACAAAATTAAAACATTTTTGTGTTACTAACTGGAGACAAAAGGGAGGAAGAGGGAAGGTAAGTATCACAATGCACAGCTGAAAAGAACCATTAAACATAAATAAACATGTCATTTTCACGAGTGACTGCAGAGCAGGGAAAAGAGCATTCCTTTGGAGCAGACTACTGACTAATAAAAGATCAAAGGTCTATACCTCACAACACTATAAATAAAAATGTATTTTTTTTCCTTGTGACCTTCTCTGAGAGGAATAAAGTGTGCACGATAAATGTAATTACTTAGCAAAGCTGCAGCCTCATTGTGTTCCCAGAGCTGACCATAAAACGTCTTCCTATTCTGTTTCATCAACTGCTGTACCAGGCGGCCTGCGCGCCTACCGATGGCCTCAGCCATCTGGCTTGTGTCAAAGCCAGCGCACAGGAAGAAAGGGAGTGATGTCACTCTGCAGGTCAGGCAAAGAACAAAGATGCATTCTACAATTAAAAGCTGAGGGCCTCGAATACCAGGGGCCCTCAGCCCTCCAGCGTGATGTGACTGCGTGATTTAACGTCCAGGCTCTTGCATTTATTGCTACCCAAATAGCCAGGGCTCCATCTAGTGGCGAATCAGTTTTGCCCAATTTTCTTTAAAAGAGAACGCATAAAGTGTTACCTTAGTTGGCGCCAAGAAAGTGCAGAACTAAAATGATCGGTAACTTTTAGAGCAGTCTAGTCTTTTTACACTGAAGAATGCAAAAAGCATGATTCATTACAATGTTCTCCAATTTAAAATCCTACAAAGCACACATTTCACAGGGTAGGGTACCATATTTTTTTTAAATGCCTTAATCCTCATGATAGCAGAAAAAATAGCTAATTTTGCAAAATGCATGTAAAGTGACATTACTTACACACTATTCTGAAAATATGTCATCATTAAAATGTAAAGTGAAAAACCGTTCTAAAAAATGGACACATGCATCTGGACACCTTGGTGAAATCCAACTCATAATCTTATACATCAATGGAACAAAAGAATCATAGTTATTAATATGGTTCTAACATGTGATGCCAAGAGCAACCCTCTCTAGAACAGAAAAAGAAACATCTTTATGCTGAAATGATTTAACACAATTAATTTTTAATGTTTTCCATATATGTTTGCAGTAAATGAAATTAAACATTTTGACAAAGTGATCTAAAATACGGAACACATTTGGACAAAAGACGGGCCATCGCAGTGGATGTATGTGAGCTCTGGGGTCAGACGCCCTGGGTGGGAATGTTGGCCCTCCCCTAACTAGTTGTGTTACCTTGGACAAACTGCTTACCCCCTCAGTGTCTCAGTTCCCTCAATTTCAAAATAAATGAATTGGTAAAAAGCACTTGGAACAACTCCTTGCACATAGTATATGCTCAGCAAATGTTAGCTATTATTAGCTATTGACATGTACAAATATTTGCTATATTTTAAAACTATATGAATTAGATATTTCTAACAGTCGGTTTACACCCAATCCTATTTAGAGTCTCCAAAGACAGAATCTTTTTGAAGCCACAAAGCTTGCTACTCTTTGATGCATTTCCACAGTAAATTATCACCCTAACAAAAATGGTAAGATAAAGATTTCCTAAGGATAATCGTTGATGAAACCCTTAGCATTTGGCAGGCACTATTCTAAGCACTTCAGTTTATTAGCTCTTTAAAGCCCGGGGGTCTTATGAGATGCATACATCATTTTCCATTTTTAGATGCAGAGACTGAGGTATAGGAAGGTCAAGTAAGTTGACTAAAATCCTAGAGCCACTGAGGCCCAGGGCCCTTACTTAACTGGACTGAATGCTTTAGCAGGTTTGAACACAAGCCATGGAGCTCCAGAACCAGTGCTCTTGACCATGACACAACTGGCAATGAAGAGCCTGAGGCTGGACCAGCTCACTCTAAATCCTCTGACTCTATGGGTCTCTACTAGATAATGTGACTGACAATAAACATTTCATAAGGATTCAATCAATTCAAGAAGAATATTTGAAGATTCTCTCTCTTAACACTGAGTGAAACAAGTAAGGCGTTAGGGAAGAACACAGTCTGAGACATTCTCAGATTTCTGCATTTGCTCTCTCTGTTCCACCAGATGCAACTTCCCCTTTTTTCTTTCACTTTCAAAATTTTTCTCTCAACTTCTTGGACACACCTTTAGGACATCTCCAAAACATGCCTAGAATTGACTTCCCTTGACTATACCAAAGCTTTAATATGTTGATAATATAGTACTTTTGAGGCCAAAAAAGCCAATAGCTACATACACCCGCCATGCCCCCCCCCCCACCAAAAAAAACTGAAGTTTTAGTTTGGCAGTTTTCTTCTTTTTATACTCCCTGAGCCACGGGGTGAGGACCCCAGCCAGAAACAATCCAGTCCAAAAAGAGGCAAGAGAAGCACATGCATCTGAGGGCTGATAATCTTTGAGGAAAGAATTAGCATTAAACACCCTGTGGAAATTAGCACTGACTGAGGACCATTCAGCAAATCTCTAATTCTCTGAGTTTGTCCCCAACTTCCTCACTTTTGTATTGTCTTTGGTATTCCACATGGCAGAATAACATTTATAAATAATCAACATGATATGTTTTTAATGCCAGACACATGTCCTATGCATCTTTCTAATTTCCCAGAATATCCAACACATCATTTTGGAAATAATTTGGTATTTTAAAACCCTGGCTAAACAAGACCTAATGAGCAGTAACACACTATGTATTAAGAACAGAATTATACCTTGGTGGCTCAGTAGGTTAGGCATCTGCCTTCGGCTCAGGTCATGATCCAGGATCCTGGGATAGAGTCCCAAATCAGGCTCCCTGCTCTGTGGGGAGCCTACTTCTCCCTCTCCCACTCTCCCTCCTTGTTTCCCTCTCTGTCAAATAAATAAATAAAATATATTTTTAAAAGAATTAGAATACATAATTGTCTAATTTTCTGATTAAAACTTTTCGATGATTCTCCAATGCATATTTCAGGGTTTCCCAACCGCTGTTCTGGGAAACAGGAGATACACTTTCAAACAAGTCTGTAGTCAACTAGTTGTGGAAATGTTACCCAATAAAAAGAATCCAAGAGGCTTTCTATTAAATACTTGCTTAACTTGTCTCAACTGGTGCCTCTCAAATGATTTTGACCATAGAAAAACCTCCACATCTCTCTTCATTCCATATCTTTACTCTCCTTGTTGCCACTCCTAACCTCTCCCATTCTGGTCCCCACTGAGGGACCAAGCATGTGATCACATCCCTTACAACAATTTTCAGGGCACTGATTGCTTATGTCTCTGTCTTCCTCTTCTAGATTATACAGTTCCTAAGCAGAGGGATGGTCTCTTTCTCATCTTTGTATCCCAGTACCTGGCGCCCAACAGCCATGATGTACTGAGTGAGAGAACGACTACATCCATGACTGATTCCATGGATCACCATTTCCCACCTTGACTTCTCTGCCATCTCAACTGCTAATGGTGCTTAAAGATGATAATTTGAATTAAAACTGGGTGGTTCTTTCACAGGAATTAGCAGTTCCTATGAAGAGGTAGGAAGTAGAAAATGCAATCTGACTTGAGATCCAAAGATAATTCAAATGCTCTATTTTGGTAAAAAAAAAAAAAAAAAAAATATTTCTCCATCTTTTTTCCTCCCAAAACTGCCCTCCAAAAAGTTGGCTAAAATTAGTTTGTTGGTTTTTTTGTTTGAGTTTATTTTTATTTCCTTTTACTTTTTTCTTTGCAGTTAAACAATAAACTGCCAAAGAAA